TACGATCTATTCTCTCTGAAACCAGTTTTTTCCACGATCTATTCCCTGTAAAGCCAACTTCTTGCTCATGCAACAACTATTCCATGTCTCTGCAGCAATACTTTACACTTATTCCCTGACACACTGACAGAAAGTAAATGCATGTCCAGTTTTCACATTTAGTCACCTTTCCACGATTTTCTACAGTTAACTCTGAATGCTTGTACATCGTTCGTGTGTGACGTGAATTGTCTATGACGAAAATGTGTAGGCATGGAAAAGTCTGTAAACGAGGGAGTGTGTGAAGCAATGTGGTGTGTCGTCAACCTCGTCTACCTACTCGTCAGTTTTTTTCCCTGTCATGTGTATTTGTGATTGATGATAATTATGCACCAGTGAAACAGATTCTCGTTGTGGATTGTATTTATTTATAATTGTTACACCTGGCCCAAACGAGCCAAAAAATACATAAGAAGCCGAGTGTAACATCGTTGGTATTTTTTTTTTAAATTTTAAAGAGAATATGACCAATCTCATGGAAAAGCGATCCTTGACGTCAAGTCTTACGTTATTTTATTTGATATATTTTGTCGACAATATAAACAAGAAGTGTGTGTTTGTCTACCTTTCCTGTTTATTGTCTGTCTACAGATGCTTGTTCGTTGGGATAAAGCTAGCGCCACTAGTAGCTCCCAGTTATTGATTGTTGTGAACACACGGAAACGCCTTTCGAGTGATCCGATGCGTAGCGCAACATATAAGACAAACAACCACAAACGGGTTACAAAACAAGACTGAATGAAACAAAGACTCGTTGAAAACTAAAAGAATTTAATAGTATATACACTATCTACACCTAACACAGTCTAGTCTAAACACAAAATACACAAGCTAGTAAACTAAGATACAGTTGCTAAAAACTAGTATAAACCTAACCTATACTAACCTTGGAGATCTGGACGACACTGAGGCAATCAATTCTTAGATGGGTTGGTCTTTATTTTCTTGATAACCTGCGTATAGGAGTCATAGTTTTACGGCATTTGTTAAAGTAGCTATAACAGCTGTCCACTAATCCTACAGTGAACCTAGTTGTAACGGCAGGCAATTACGGTTTTTGTAAACTAGTCATATATTACGGCATTTGTTAGAATAGCTATAACAGCCGTCCATTTTGTAACTTGTTAGAAAAGCTATAACGGCCGTCCATTTCGTCACTTTTTGGAGTAGCTATAACGGCTGTTCACTAATATTACACTGTACTTAGTTGCAAAGACCGTCCATTACGGAACGTTTTAAACTAGAAATTTTGGCCGTCTACTACGTCACTGTTAAAACTAGCAATGACGGCCGTCTGCTACGTCACCAGTGAACCTGGCTATAATGGACGTCCACTACGACACATAATAATCTACCTAAAATGGCCGTCCACTTCGTCACTTGCAAATTACACTTAATAAATATTCTGTGTAACAAGGAATATAGGATATAATTCTGTTTAAAACGTTCTACAATTAATCTACACATTTAATTAAACTTCAGAGTACTTAATTAAAATTCTACAGAGAGAAAATTTCGAACTAGAGCAAGTATCACAAAGGTTGAAGCGGTAGATAAATGATACATGTCGCACTACCATTGATATCTTTTTATGTAAGCTTGACAAATATAGGCGGATCCAAATGATTAGTATGCACTTTAAATAAAAGCTTGTAAAAATACACAACTATTAAATTAAAAATCGTATTGTTCGTACTTTGTTCAAAACTGAGACAGAAATTAAAATTAGGAAATGAATTCCAGCAGTTTCCAAATGTATTCAGAATTTTATTATCAATATAAAGACGTACATTTTCTATTGACTAATCTCAATTTTCCCTTTAATAAGTAATTTCAAGGTGTTTCAAAAAATAATTAAGTTTATTTGCAATTAAAACATTAAAATCCAAACACTTGAGAAATCGATGTGTTAATTCAGTCGGCCAAATTGGGGTTTTGGTTTACAGAATAAAATGCTTTTAAAAATATTGTTGCGTGATTTTTATCATCCTCATCACCTTTTACCGTCGATACCCAGGGTAAATGGGGCCGCTAGAGAAAGCCAGTCTTTCACAACTTTATCTGCTTTTGTCAGTAGTTTTCTGTTGTCTGTATCAAAGTCTCCCTCAACCTTCACAGTCCACTTAGTTTTCTGTTGTCTGTATCTAAGTCTCCCTCAACCTTCACAGTCCACTTTCAGGTTGACAATCGGGCGCCATTACTGTAACTTAGTCTTGTCTCATCCTTAATACATGGCACATTTAGCGCCATCTTTCTTCAGTTAATTCTGATACAGTTTCAATTTCTCAGTCTCCTAGAAACCTATTATTAAAGATAGTCTACGGCCAGTGGATGCCATTTTTCGTTCATAAAAAGCATCCAACTTTTGATATCCAAGTAAGAGTTTAAACTATACGATTACTATTACATGCTACATAAGTTAATAATAACAATGATAGAGTAAACATGCAACTAATTATGAATATACACACAATGAAATGCACTTTATTTTGGTAAATATGTAATATATTCTAGTTGGTTCATACAAATATAAGCATATTTTAACACGCTTAATCAGCCTTTGGTTTTGATAATTTATTCATACGTTTTTCTTGCTCTTTAGTACATGAAAACTTGTTTCTAAGTCGTTTTTATGAAGTTTTGAGGGTTAGGTTTTAATGAATGGTATACTGAACGCTTTATTGATTGAAATTTTTTTTATATGTAGTCAGAAAAGTTGAATATGATATATATTACGTCATAAACAAAGTTATATAGTATTTCTCCTATGCATTACAAGTTATATGATATTTAATATTCTTCGAGAATCAATCTAGAGGTTTTTAATAAACACATGCTTTTTCTGCTTTACGGAAAACTTTACTTTTACTTTTATAGACTTTGCTCCAATCATTTATATTATAACCATGGCGAAAAGGAAATGTTAAAAAAAAACATACGGATGTTCGTTTACAGAATATTTTAAGACAAATTCGAGAGCTTTACATCGTGCTACGCTAAAAATAAAGCGGGCGTGATCTCCCTAAACTTTCTCTAATATACTTATGTAACACTACCGGGGACGGCAAATCGGCATATAAATATAATTTTAATCAATTTTGAATTACTTATTCTTTTTCCCTTTTATCCGCATGTTGTTATTGTGTTTTTAAATTTTTGTGAATTAAAAAAAAACTGGGGAAATTAAAAGTTCAAATTCTAGACGCAGTCATATCCCCTTTAATATCACACCTACTTGAAAACAGTTTAGTAGCCTATAGGCCTAAATGTTAAAGGATTTTTTTAAAAAATTCAAATGTTTTCTTCGTTTAATCGTGTAGTAAAAAAACAGTGAAAATTAAAAGTTTAATTTCCTTTCGTGGAATCTTGAAGATATCATTTGATAATAATTAAAACATACTTGGTATCTTTTAATTAGGATAGATATCATAGTTCCTAGCAATTTATTTACTAAAACATCGATACCATTAGCTTTTAAGTGTCTGAATAGTTCAGCTCTAATGCTTTTATTATCAAATTCCTCATTGATTTTATGTGTGCTTCATATTGTACTTGCTCTTTTCTTCCAGCTTTTTCATACTTTTGTTTTAAATTAGCAAAGTTTTGGGCTTAATTTTTTATATTCTTATGTGTAAGGTTTAATAAATCCATTTTTAAATCCATCTTAGATTAGTTAGAAAAACACTGTATATCCAGCGGTACATTTTCTACTCGAGCGCTCAACTTCTAGAACAGGTAAACTCGAAAGATCTAGACCAGGAATCTATCGCCTAGAGTGGTTTACATTTAGGCTGTGCCACAAATATTTCTCCAGTAGCCTCCCCTTGTCTGTACGTTTGACGCCGCATAGAACCTTCGTATACCATTTTACCCAGTCACGCTCCCCCTACCGTGACAGCCTGCAAATGTCTTTGATGGCAGCAATACTCTGGGAACACACACATACACACGCCTTCAGAATACAAGCCAATCTCTCATTTCTAACACACGAGCATTACCATTTTAAGCTCATTATACACCATCTAACTTGTTAAAGGGAATTCTGAAAAGTAATAAAGCACGATGCTAAAATTAACTTTTAGCTAGGACCAGAGATAAAAAAAAAATAAAGCTAATACTCGAGCTAATACCTAAAATAACATTAAGGTAAAATCTTGTCAGAAGTGGTCTGGTGTCGGAAGGTCTGACCTGTATTGAAAACATTCACGTTAGAGGAACTGACAAGCTTGCAGGATTTACAGACCACATCAGCAGTTGTATCTTTAATGACAAAATGCTGATAGAAATGGAAACATTAAGTTAATAAAATTATTGATTTATCCTAGGATCACAAATTAATATCAGTACAATTATATATATTTAACATGTTTCTGTAATCTCGACATGAGTAGGAAAAACGTAGTCAATGTTCCATAACGTGAGTAAAGTACATCGTAGATGTGTGGACTTATTTACGCACTACAATTAGCCTTGGTCCTTATTGCCTTCATCACATTAAAAAATAACGAAAGTTATTATATGTTTGATAATTCCGAAGATTTTATTATGTGTTAAAAAAACAAACGAAAAAAAAAACAAATGAAATAAAACATTAACCATAAGTTGTATAAACGGATGTATTTGTAAATATATAAACCAAACAATTTATTAAACTACACAAAGGGAGGCTTGATATAAAAATTAAGTGGACGTTATAATAAAGATGTATATACATGCATACAATTGCTTTCCATTAATTGTGTGCATGTAAACTTACCAGAGGCGTATCGACCTTTCCCGGCGTCCGGGTACAAACTTTTTGATTTGCACCCCCCTCACGATTTCGATATGCGCCCCCCTCCCCCTCAAACTTTCAATTTGCACCCCCTCAACCTTTCAATTTATTCTTCCAACCCGTTTTGGCGCACCCTAAGGTCAGCGCCCGGGGACATATGTCTCCACCCGCCCCCCCCCCTCGCTACGCTACTGAAACATACTAAACAAATACAATTATAAAAGTAGGTAACTGGAAATTTCTCTAGCCTATGGTATGGAACACAAACGACACTAAATTGTTCACGGGAGATAACAATTAAAATTACCCACTTGATTTGTGAGAGTATGGTTACATACCTTGAAAACAATAATAAACGAATATTCCAATCTCAGTAACATCAAAATATTCAGAATTAAACGTTTATCTTGTACTAATATGTACTTATATGTGATAGTAGAGATTTCTCAATAAACAAACATGCTCGATATGAGATACACCAGATAAAATATTAACTACTTAAATATAGGATTTACTTAAATAATCTATTTTTATTCTACTATATGACCGCATAATGTTCACATTTATAATACAAAGCTTTACAGATCCCACATTAACAGTTACAATCTACTTAATGCGATGTTAGTGGCATATAGATCTATATCTTTCGAAAAACTATGCAAAAAAATATTATTGACAAAATTGCACAAACATTACACACGTTATTAGAGTTGAACTTCACACGATCCGAGTGAATGTCTGATTAAAGATATAGTGGTAGATGATAACTACACTACTAGTCTAGTTATGAATATGCAAGAAATAAATGACACCATCATAGTCGGTTTTTTTTCCTGGTTTAATGGCTAACACACACGGTCAATCTATGAGGAATTTCAATTCCAGATGAGTGCATACATGGCTTTATTACATCATAATAGCAAAACAAACTCTGTTGGTGTTTTTTTAAATCTTTTTTTTTAAATAAAATGTTTGGTTTAATGTTCGTTAATTTTAAACTTCTTATGTATACTCACCATCAGGAAAATATTGCCTTAGTTTAATGTTTACATCTATTTATTTTAATATGTGTAATGTTGCTTATGTTCCTGAAGATTATATAAATAATTTGATTACTGTATATCCATTGTTTTGCCATAGCATTGTTTTCGGGTTGTTTACATTCGACGAAGTTTCATCTCAACAAAGTCTAGAGAGTCAGTAAAGTCTGTAATGCTATACCAATTAATTCCTCTCGCACGAACACGACTCGCCCATTTACCGTTGACGTTAACATAGTGACAAACCTTATACCACCAACCACCTCTACTGTCGTCTACAGCACAGTTTCTACCTGACCACTCATCGTTATCAGAGTCAATGGTTGTAAACTTCATGCCGTTGTGATAACTAAACTTGTCTTCAACATTCCCACCACTGAATGACGGGTAGTTCATCCTATACTTTGCTGCTTCATTTTGTACCTTAAAACCTCTGTACACAGCGTAGTAGTCTTTACCTTTATACTTCATGTCAAATCTGAGTTCATTATAACCCTGTATTAAACAAAAAATTAGAAATATTTAGATATTGCATTGTGTTTGAAATATTGTAAGTATTGATCCCTCTATACTATATGATAATTATACATATAAACAATATGAACAATTTTCCAAAACAAATTATTACAATAATACACACACTTCTTGAAAACTTTCTTTGTAAAAAGAAATTATTGAATAAACTTATTTTAATAGTTCCTGTATCTATCTCATCATTAAAACAAAAGACGTCTATTGAGAATGGAAATATTACATTATCTATTGCCTGATTACATTGCAACTTAAAAATATATTCCCTTACAAGAAATACTATTTATATTCAATGTACTTATGGCTTTTCTAGAAATCCCTCCTTTTCATTAATCTCCATACATTGCCTGCCGTTGTAACACGCTCGCAGTTAGTAGACCCATCTCCCTTACAATATATATTACTTATGTACTTTTCCTTCTTTTGATAAGCTCAATAGTCCTAAATCTAAATCTTACAACGTATCTTGTTTGTATCTCTATAGGTATGTTGTGTAATGGGGTTAATATAAATCAGGTGAGTACAGGCGGGAGGGTGTGGAATAGATCTGTTGATAAAACCGGTAGAGGAAGAAATGACAATGGTAAATATCCTGCTGACTGCATTACACTATTCTTTAAGGTTCGATACATAACCACAATCTTTATTTTATAATATATGTTAACCTTCCTAAAATATCTAAGTAATCTGTATATCGTTTATCAAATAAACACTTCTGAAATCAACGGATCAAGACACTTAGCTTTTTTCCCGATAACAATAAAAACACGCTATGTTAGTTTGTTCACCTATTAATATACTGCATGTGCAGTAAATGCACCTTCGTCATATAAAGTTAAGATGTATAGTATTTGTTTCGTTAGTTAGCTATTGTTTTGTAAAATTTACAAACTCAACGAAATACATTAGGATGCTTCGCCATTAAAATATCAAGTTACTTAATCTAGGTCCATTTAAATGTATTTTAAATATTCAATGCCATGGCTGATGATTTAAATGTGCATTTCAGTGACATGTGTACACCAGACCCACTGTCCAATCGATTTATATTTAACTCTCAGCTTCCGAGTTTCTTGATTACAACACCTTAGATACGCATCACCGCCTCTGATATCTCAAAAATCCCTCACCTTTCTGATGTTTTGGCCCCATGACCCCATCCCTACAACCCTCGCGCCCCCTTGACACCACCCCTACAACCCTCGTGCCCCATCCTTTTTTAATCGGTTTTATTTACATAACATTCAAACAAACATTGTAATGATGTTTTAACACTAATTTAATAGTAATTTATATCTACTGTCCATGGTCCACAGCTTACATGACCCCATGACCCCATCCGTCTATCCCCCCTCCTAGTCCCCACCTCTTTTCACATGGATCTGAATTTCCTGAAAGTCATCCTTAAAATGGTTTTGTTTACCTTTATTAACATGTACGAAACTATTCAAATTCTTTCATGAGAACACTGCAAACCAATTTTTTAAAACTCCACCGTATCCCCACACATTATTATAGCTTCACACCTACCCACCCAAAACATGTCGGTACTAAGCAGTCAAAAAATCATAGCTACGACTATGCACATCGACCCTGAAGCACCACACTTTACCCCCTCCAGCTCAATCGCTAACACAACAACCTGTTCGGTTACCCCTCCCCACCCCCTCAAACGACCTTACCACGCCCCCACCATCCCCAACATCAGCTTTGATTTGTTTGTGTTGTTTTCGTTTTCTCTTGTATCTACTATTGTATCTACTATGTGACGAAATTTATGTAAAACAACTATGTGTGTTGGCTATTTTACTATAGTTTTACATATGGTGAAAACACACACCATGCGAACTGTATATTTTTCAACCAGCCATTGTTTTATTTTTTACCTTGTTACAAATTTAAACGTCAAACTAACCCAAACGCCTGGCTCGCCTTAAACCCACACATCCACTCTCTTTACGCTTCGTCATCCACCGCGACCCGCCCCTCTACCTACATGACCCGTATACCCCCATGATTCTTTTACCTACTCCAACAATCTCACCCACCCGATCAGCTTCGATTCGTTTGTATCTTGTTTTTTCTTCTCTTGTATTTTCTATTTTGATTGTACAAAATAGGATAAAATCCACTTAAACCAATTTTGTTTTCGACTATTCCACAATTTGTTATAACTTTTCACCCTCTTTTATTGGTAAAATGTTCTATACCAGCCTTTTTGAACCAACATGCTTTACGTCCAATGCATTTTATATGTTTATTAACTTATTTATCTGTTTATTTATTAAACTCTTTACAGCGCTTTTAACTACCTTTTAAATATCCACCCAAATGATGTGTGAAGTTACTGTATTTGTTTCAAAATTATAAAACACGATTACTTCTGACACGAAATGAGTATGGACATAATATTGTCTGGTTTTTTTTATCTCATAGTGGTTATACATCGCAATGAAATTGACTACATTTCTCAGGAAATAGATAATTCAAAATTGATTGAAACTGGCTAAAAAAATAATTCCGGGTGAGCCTTTTTTTTCTAGTCCCCCCACTGATAGTAACACATCAATCAATTTTCTTATGAGAAATTATCTAGATTAAACGAACGTATGAATGCCAATTGTATTACACTATCCTTCACATTCCTAATCAGTTAATCACTGCTAGTCAATAATACCCTCTCCTCTAAATGTATTGCCCTAGTTCTGTAATTCGTGTCCTCTCCTTCAAATTTCAACATATTGCCATATCTATCCATCTCCTATTCATAACCCTAAGCTTTATCTATCGCTAACCATTGTATAAATTTATCTATATTCTAGTGTCCGATAAATTAAAAAATGGGTCAGTGTCCTATTGGAGTTTTTTATTGAAGGCAATGATAGAGGAATATGACTTGAGGATAATTAAAGAGGGTGGGAATGCGAGAGGTGTAATATTATACCATCAGTGTGGCCTTTGCCGATGAAACTAAGTCAAGACATCCTTTCGAGATTTCAGATATTAAAAAAAAATAAGTGCACCTGATCTACAATTCAGTGATGATATAATGATATGAATAATGTGATCCATTGGAAAAGAAATTGTGTTTTTAGATGCATTTGACAGTAGTATACACGCAAAATGTGTTAAATGAGGTGATGTAATATAGTTTATGTCAGATAAAATCACTTAGCTAATTAGGCATGTTTCATACGCATTTACGCGTGTCATATTAGTTACTACAATGTATTTTATAGTTAATACAAGTACTACATTCTACAGTAGATGCTTCCTTAAAAATGACGTAGAAGAAACTATGATCAAACTGAGAAATTGATGTTGAACCGCCCTTATGTTTTGTGAAACAGTCATCATATAACCTAAACTATCAAGCTTGTGTACACATTTACTGAATAAATTGGTTTGTGTTTTACAATTACAAATTAAGTGATAGCAATTACATTGAGAAGTGTGTGTATGGCACAATCAAATTAATAGTCCCAATAAACACATTATTCTGTGTACCTGCGTGATGTTTAAGTTCAAAATTAAGTTTCTATGCATTGATTTCAAACTTCCATTCTTTTCTTACCAAAGATGTCAAGCTTGAAATTACATCATTTCCGATCCAAAAGTCTCCAGAAATTGAGCCAAAGCCGTTTTTATAATCGTTCCAAGTTCTTGTAAAGTTCACATCACCTTTGATACGTCTCTGTAACAAGTAACGACAATGCTAAAATAAAGTTTTAAGCAATTTGATTTGATTGATTCCAAAGAATAATTATGTTAATATAAATCAAAATATTTAAGAAATAAACAAAGTTTATGTATAAAATAACGGCAGTGGTAAACATACGTGAGTTGATTTGATTTATAAGTAAATCCCAAATTGTAAACATACAACACAAACATATTTTTATCCGAGAACAATCTTCAAAATTAATTTACTCTCAACATTATCATTGTCTATCATTTTATATTATACATGTGTTTTCAATGGTATAAATACAACAAACCTGATAGAAAAAAATGTAGGAAAAAAGCTAAATTGGTAAATGTCTAAGAATGTTTTAAATGACAAAAAAACAAAAACCTGTATAATAATCCATCCTCCACCGTCAGTCTTGGTATCACACAATGTTCTGTTAACATCTACTCCAGTAAACGTCATGTCCACTAAAATAAGATCGTTCATTTTGGTACATTTTAACTGGAGAAAAAGTTGCATATTTGTATTTATTATTAGTTGAAACGAAATTAATTGAAAACAAATGTATTTATTCAAACAGTTTTCACTACTTTTCTTTATAAATAATAATATTGTATTATCTACTGTATATTATTACCTAGCAAAGCACTAGATACCTACACAACCACGAAGAATATATACATACACATGCATATGTGTATACATATATACATATAGATATGTTTTGCGTGTTTATGCATGAATAAGTATAAAAATGTTCACAGAATATATATAAGTACGTGTTAAAAATGTTTGCCAAAGAGACTCAATTTAATATCTCGTTTATTTTACTAAACATTGTCGAGACATTGAACTACTTTATAAAAATGTGCGCTCCTGGCACAGCTTCAGCTTTAGTGAAAAGTGGTGATGTTACGTATTTTAAAGACATTCTACTAAATCCAAGTTTTATAAACAATTATTGATTTTGCAATCTTCTTTTTTTAAAAATCACCAGCTAACATTTGTCAGAATATTATCTGAATACATAAAAAATAAATAAATTTAATAACAATCATTTTAGTTTTTTTTTACATTTGACGCAACTAAGCATTGTATTGATGTAAGTCTAATTCGAAAACATGCCATGCCTGCGTAAAATACTTTAAATTTAAACTTCTTGGGAGCATTGTCATATGTAATGGCTGAACTGAAAAATGCCAAATTGGGAGTAAGCAGAGTAAGATGATAAACAAATTACAATAAACTTACGTGTTCACCCTTGAGCACAGGGCCAATAATTCCATGTAATCTTTTGACTTGGACACCAATTTGATCAGATTTAGTAAACAGGTTTTGAATGGTGCTGTTCATCTCTTCCATACTGGCGTGTATATCGATGGCAGTATTATTTAGTAGTGATACAGCTGTTTTAAAATCCTTCATTGTCTTTGACTGTGTCTCTGACAGTAATTTGTTGCTTTCACCCAGTTGTTGAAAGCTTAGATTTTGACGTTGTTCCAATATAGCTGTGCTATTTTTAAACATTTCGTTAGTTATATTTAGTAAATCTTTTTTTAAATCTTTCATGGTTTTAGTTAGAATTTCACTTTGATTTGACCTTTGCGACAAACTCTGTATATCAAATGATACATTAACCAAACTGTAGTTCAGTCTCTCCAGTTGTTTGTGTAAAATATTGTATAGGCTTGATACGTTTTGTACTGACATATTGTGTATTTGAAGTGTTTTATTGTTTGCTTCTATCTGTTGAGTTGATTTTAGTAATTTTTCATTTAAGTTGTATTTAAAATGCGTGAACTCTTGATTTGTGTTATCTACGGTGTTCAATCTGTTAACAACGTTGTTCATTTGATTTTCAAGTCTCTGAATTGTAGACCCTTGGGCTGATAATAAGCTATTTAATCTACTTTCCATGGCATTGGTTAGGTTAACTAAAGTTTCATCACTCTTCTCCTTTGTTAATTCTGCTGTATGATAACTAAGGTTAGAACGTTTGTCATTTGTTATAACCTGTAAATTCATCTTCAAGTCAGCTCTGTTTAACATATCAGAATCTTTAAAAGTTTTTAAAAACTCTGACATTCTATCAATTGTTTTATCAAACTCTGGAGTTTTAGCTTCTAAGGTCATCAACATCAGCGGCTTACTATTGTCTTGGTCAACAGGCTTGGTTTTATTTTCTTTCATCTCAGTGAGACCCCTTCTATTTGTGTAATACACATCACATCCAAACACTGTACTAAAACAATCGGAAGGTTTTGTAAATGATACGATCAATTCTCCAAACACTTTTGAAAACTTTCCATCAATTTTTGATCCAGATACTTTATAATCTCGAACTCTTGAATCTGATTCTGATACAGACGCCAACATAATCTTCCCGTCTAATTCACTGATCTTATAGACTGACATGTTGACAAAAGCTGAGATGTCATTATCTTCTCTTGTGTTCTCCACACAATGTAACTTGCCACAAAATAAAACTTTACCCTCCATATAATATTCTCTTTGTAGTGAAATGTCAAGTCCTGGAATGTAATGAAATAAATCACTGAAATTGGTCAAATTAAATTATTTAAGAAATGATTTTCATTTAATACATTTACTGCATAACATCTATTGCAATTCCTTCATAGTAAAATATCCGACAGAAGTATATTTAATAATGGCAAGAAAAATTAACTTCACAAAAATGGTATCGTATACAATTAGCTGTAGCATTATAATCCGTGGTAAATTATTATGGAATAATAAAATAAAACACAGAAATCGGAGAAATTAAATTATTTATGAAATAAATTTCTTTTAATACACTTCACGCATAACAACTTCCGAATAGTTACATCTATTCAATTCTTGCGTAAAAATTCTTTTGAAAGAAATCTATGTATTAATTGCAACAAAATTTAAAGTTACAAACGTTAAAATGGTAATTTATACATTAAGTTTTATTATTGTAATCTTGGTAAATTATTATTAAATATTTATTAGTTGATTTAAGCTATTAGGACAAAGTCAGTAACTGAAAACACGTAGGCCTATTTATCCACGTGTGTTTAAACACACTACTTCTCAAATTACATAGAACAAAACTTAATACATAACTACGTATAAACGTTCGCTAGTAGTATACACAAAAAAAATTCATTTTTTTTTTAAAATAATTGTGTATTATAATTTTTAAATGTAATATCTCAAACGTGAAACAAACGGCAGGCCTCAAAAGTCATAAATATATCACTTTTTTTCTGTTTAATAGAAATTGAATTAAAATTGAAATACTTTGTAATAAGCTAGTACAGATTTGACGTCGGCAATGGTAACGGCGTATTTTGAAAAAACGGGTAAGATTGCAGCTCCAATAGTTCCGATTTCGGTGACTGGTCAAATGATGAACATTAGCTAGAAACCGCAACGCATCGTAGGGAAAATAAACATCTACAAAACCCATCAACTGCTACCTTACAAATTTCTATTGGATGGACAGATTCTAGCGAATCGTATCCAGAAAGAGAAGCTTGATGATTTTCGGGTAAACAAATAAAATGACCCAGAACATAAAACAGACAATAATGAAGTGTGTTGCGGGCAATCATGTCGCAAAGTACATTAAAAGTACAAATAAATGAATAAACCATATGACCCAAAACATATAATAATGACGTGTGTTTGAGGCAATGACGTCAAAAAGTACAATTAAAAACAATCGGAAGATATTGATTGATCGAAAAAGATAACAAAACATCTTTTTGAGAAAGAACAGTTAGGTTTGTTACTTTTAAATCAGAAAATTTAGACCGATTATACATTTTAGTTTTTGGGCGAGATTGAATTCAGGTGACTAAAAATTTTGAGATTGGTTCCATGAGGTTGTAACCTAACTCAAGCTATGGACCAGTAATGAAGACTTAGTTAATCATTTTGTCCATGCTTTAAAAACTAAAACAATTGTTACCTAAAAATATACAAATTATCAAATGCATCATTCGCCATCTAATTTGTGTTGCAGTTATATACAAATGTACTCACCACAGGTAAACATGATATTTACAACCAATAGAGCCGTCACTAAAACAGCAGACATTGTAAAGTTGTGTAGTTCTGTATCACACGAACTGGAGACTTCTCTAAACCGCTGCTTCTGTTTACTTGTGAGGAGATCGCCGTCTATTTATAGCACAAAATTGTTACAGATGTCAAAGATATGTTGATAAGACACTTATGCGTTTTCTTCCTTAGAAATTCTACCATAAAAAATTACACTGTTAAAACGTTTCACGTTGTGGATCTCAAATAATATTTTATAACTACATATATAGCGCCGACCTCATATTTTTACAATGAATTATAAATCATTCATTTTGGTTTTTAAAAACAATTTATGCTAACAAATATAAAGTCGGCGTTTTATAATGCACAAATTAATACTTTTAACTTACTCCTTTGTTTTTACTTTCTCGTATATACGAAGAATAGAGAAAGTATTGTAATCGTGCACAAAAATCACTTGAAATTTTGACAATTTTCACCGTATTGCACCTCAGTCCTTCATCACATCCGAAGTATAGAGGACTTATTTTAATCGGGCAAAAATTATCAATCCAGATTTACCAAAATTATGAGGTTTTATGCGTAATTCAGTCTGAAACACTGGGCTTTGCAATTCTGTCCGTATGTCTGTGTGTCTGTGTGTCTGTCTGTCTGTCCGTGTGTAAACACGATAACTTGAGTACCGTTACAGCTAGGTTGATGAAATTTCATATATAAGTATCTTATCGAAATCGTAGATCTGTATCAACTTTTGAGCAATTTCCGATAACCGGAAGTGGTATTTTTTCTAATGTGAATTTTTCAAAAGCCTATAACTTGAGTACTATTTCAGATAGATAAATGAAATTTCACAAGTAAGTAAAAGATCTAATTCTCTACCTTCTGTTAAATTTTAAGTAATTTCCGTTGACCGGAAGTAGTAATTTACGCTACTTCCGATTTCTCAAAAAAAACGAATGTAAATTTTTAAAGTAATAATAATATTGCGCACTATTATGCACTTTTTTATTTCGCGTTCACTTGGTGTGCAATTCTTTTGTCTACGAGATTTTATTCTATTTTTAAAACTTTAAGTATTTAAAATGGATTAAAAATCATGTCTATAGCCCGAGTTCCCATCCGCTGTTGTTTTATATAAGAATATTCGAGAAAGTTTTATTTAATTTTTCATATACATTGAAGATCTTCTTGTTTGTTTATTTTATAATAGTTTGAAGTAACCACCTCTTAAAAATAGTAGTAGTTAATTAGTTACAACAGCAAATCAAACAAAACGTTGAATTTGATTTTCACAAGTACATAACTAAATGTATCTAGTGGTTAGAAATTTAACTAGCCGTCACTTGAGATCAAAGATTGACAGAATAAATTCGATCGTCTCATTGGTGATGTATCAAATATTAATATATTGACCAGAATGACTTATAGAAAGACATTCTGATACATTTTGTGTCTCGTCTAATGACTATATATTTAACTAACAACACCTAAAGACTTAAATAAATTATTGGTTAATACGTCTAACGTCAGTTAATACAGGTTAGTAAGTCAAAAGCTAATCCAAAAGACTCATGTGACGGCTTAGACAAACTTAATGAACAATTATTAAAACAAATGGTCGAGCAGAAAGTTCAAAATATAACTAACCAATATGTACTTTATTTAAGGTTAAACACGTTTTTTTTTCAAATCAATTGATATTTGTAAAAATTGTTTAAAAAAACAAAAAACTTTTTATCATCATATTGAGAATCCCTGAATTGCATGAATGGAGTAAACAAATTATACGTAAGTAATTAGCGTGGGTGTGGTAACTTAGCTTCCCACCAGTATCACGTTACATGCAGAGACCGGAAACAACTCAAGCTTCGAGATAAGAGGTCAGCTGTCTACTTAAACGACCAGAGTGTTGGCATATTACGAAACAAAAATAAACATGTGATTATATCAGCTGCACCTTTGACCCTGCAGTAAAGTTCTTTTTTCGTCATACTTTTCTCGCGGTGTGAATAATGATTTTACAAATATTCTAGAAAATGTTGAATTTTTTTAAAAAACATATTAAATATGTAATGGTATTTAAACAATTATTGCATAATTTACAGTATGAATAATGTCTTTTTAACGTTAAGGAAAATTCATGCAATTTTTTCACATTATCTTATCCTTACACACAAAAAATAATTAATTAGTCAAAGTGCATCGTTCAGTACTTTCATTCCTATACACATTGGTTGTAGTCGAATAATAGAAGATATACAAATTGCATGGTTTGAACATAAATTGAGCAATATAGTATGGACCATTGACGACAGAAAAAAAAACT